AGTTTACATTTTGAATTGAGAAAAGTTTACCTTTGATTCTTGCAATAACATACATGTTAATGCATATTTGGTACTTATGATGGGTTTGACAATCTGAACTGTGTGTCACATGGAAAAAATATTATATATAAATTGAATTTCTTTAAAAAAATTGACTGAAATTATATTTTAAAAACATTAAATGTGAAGGGTTTTCACTGAAATATCCAGGCAATATGTTAAATTAGTTCATACTAAACACAACTAAGCTTGGATCTGTTCATTTGACCCATTTCATTTATCATAATTTTAAGCAAAAATTTAATTACAACCCTTTGGCGCCTAATCATTTTTTGATTTGTTTTTTTGGTGCGAAAGGATTGTAAAAAACCATAATTAGAGAAGTATTAAATAATTAGAATGTAAAAGAGTAAATAACTTTTTTGTCTCTCCTGAATAATTTCAAAATATTGAGTTACAACCCTTTCGCACCAAGGCATCGTTATATATAGTTATTCATCTAAGAAGGCGGAGGTACATTGTTACAATCTGTTGAACTAATTGAAAAGAAACCTCTGGGCAGCGTTTCATAAAAAGCATCTTGTTAATTTCTAAGTCGAAAAAGTTATGACCAACATTATGACACATTTGCGCTTAAGATTGTTACACGAAATAGTTATTTTCTGGAATAATTTGCATTCCGAAAAAAAGGTATTGAATACAACCCATAAACCAATCCAAAAATATATCTTTATATTCTCCCTTTCAAAAAAGAAATTAGAATCAATTGATCATTGAATATTTCAGACAAATTTTCAGACATTTTGTACATCTTTGTCTCTTGTCATGTGAATTTTAAGTGGGTAAAATTCGTTATGAGCCCGAGTACTTGAATAATATCCATATATTATTGTAAAAATGGGGATGTAGGGTTTGAATAACATGAATTCTAATTATGTGGCCTCTGCGATACTCTTATATCAATTTACACCGGTAAATATTATCATCATTATTCACCAAAATTTTGGCATACAGACATGAAGCCAGTGTGAAGAAGTGTTTTGAAAGAAATCCATAACATCATTCGTATCTTCGTATCTGTAAATGGATTATGAGTCTATGTATAGTCTATGTGTTTTTGAGAATTAGACAAAAAGCTTAAAATATCCTACATCAATTTTGTTATGTCTAAATTATATTACGATATGGTCAACTTTTTTGTTAAACTTGATTACAGCTACTTTAGTTCAAAATAGGAATTACTGCACATTACAGCATATTCGAAACAGGTTGATAATAGAGAAAGATGCTAAAAGTTTTTGTTTGTTTGTTATGTATTTTGTCTAATTTTTACGCCAATTAAACTTTTTGGTCAAATCTATGCGACCAGACACCTAAAAGCATTTATTGTGTTACTTACAAGTAACTGAAAAGTTAACGCACGTGATCAATTACTGATACCGCACAATTTCCAAAACAGAAAATGAAATGACCATAAGAATCAACGACCGAGATCAAATGTCACCTGGTCACGGAAAATGTTCAATGACACATACATTTTAAATCGATTGCTCTATTGAGCTTATGTACCAAATATATGATACGGTTAAGATTGTCAGTATATGTATACTTTTGAAATTATGTTATAGAAATTGTGAAAATATGTTCACATTAAATATACAGAAACCTGAGCAAATTTGCGCATAGTTACTCACATAAACTTACTGTTTACGTAATTTATCGTAGTAGACCAATAACTGATAACACGAGCGGTCACTTATATAACTAACAGCACTTCAATGTCTAGACTTTTCACTTCTTTTTAAGTAATTTAATAAAGACACATAGCCTACCATATTTTATTTAAAGGATGTAATCAATGATTCTTTAGCCTCTTTATTTTTTAACCATGTTTAATTGCTCCATTTTTTCTTTATTAAACAATTTATAAAATTCAACGAATATAAACAAGTTTATATCCCTCGTCAACAAACCCTATTAAATTCGTGAGAGAAGACAAACCATCAGTCGATTAATAACTATTTTGATAACAACTTTTAACATATCAATTGTGTATTGTTTTTTCTGCTCCTTTAATTCTTTCATTAGATTATTATTTTTAAATATCAATGACTACTGGAAGTAATATAATACACAACAAACACACACACACACACACACGCACACACACACACACACACACACACACACACACACACACACACACACATATATATATATATATATATATATATATATATATATATATATATATATATATATATATATATATATATATATATATATATATATGATTAGATCAGTTAAATGACTTTTAGTAGTGACCAATACTCTCGCCATTTCAATTGTAAAAATAAAGCTCTCACACTATCTATAAAAACCATCAGTAATAGCTGGGGTATATCAGATGACACAATAGCGATGAGTTTGTAGAAATTTGTCATAAAGGAAGTAAAACGTAAACAATGTAGTATTTTGACTTCCTTACGAAATCTTTAGTCATATTTTAATGATGGCAATTGTAAGCAAGGATAGTCTATGGAGCATAATTTGGGTATTTTTTCATTTGACTACTTGTTGTTTTCATTTGCTTAAGTTTAAATCATATTCCTACAAATTTGATTCATTTGTGGGTAAATCAAAGTTCTTTACTTAAATATTTATTTATTCTTTCTTACTATGTTTATAGTAAGTTGTAATATTCTAAAGCCAATGCCAGTACTTCATCTTAATTCGTTCAATTTAATATTCGATACCAATAAATTACTTTTTGTTTTAAACATGTGCTATTTCTACTGATTTAAAAGAAAGGGTGTTTTCTCGAACTTGTTTCTTACAAATGTATTTGTGCAGCTCTTATTCCCATTTGATTCACACTGAAAATAAATTTGTATGTAGAGTCTATAAGAATAACTTTATGAAATAATTAACATTAAGCAACCTTAAGCGAAATAAAACTGACTCATTTCAATAAGAAGAACAGCAGAACAAATAAAAACTAGAAACCACGTGATTAATATTTGCTTTTTGTCTCCTAGCTGGGTACCTGCCCTAAAATTCTAGCGCAAAATCTTATTGACGGGAGATAACTCATGTATCGCTTCGGTATTTTCCGTGAGCACAAGGTGTGAGGATACAATGCTACGCGGCGATTTATTTCAAGTTTATAGGTAGCACACCACAATAATGTAAGACACAGCTTCGAATGGCCAGGAAGGATTTCTTGGATATAGTGAATATTCTGGATTTAACCTTTTACCCCATGAGCATATTGTGAAAAATGGCCGTTTTCATTGAAAAGCCTCCTGTTACAAGTTCAAACTGCTATGAAACTATGAAAAATGCTTCAATACTCATGAAACTTATCACACATGTTGACTGGACCATAGCTTCTATAACAGAATGCTCAATCGTTAATTTTCTGTGACCATGGTAACGGGGGGACGTCCCAAAATTGCCAAAAATCACCATTTGTATTGTTTTTTTTTTCCATCAAAACTGATTTCAAAGTGCTGCAACTTCTCAATGAATTAAGATAGTGTAAAACACTTTTCAGCGCCGGTTACTAGTTACCCTGAGTTTGACCTGAGGCCATTTTTAGCCTGTCACATGTCCAAAATTTTTTTGGCAATGAGGGGGACTACCGCCCCCTTCAAACCCCCAAACAGAAGGGGGCACACCCCCCTTCTGAAAACCCCCTGATGTAGTACTATTTTGATGGGGTCCACGCCGAAAAATGGTCACCTTTTTAACAACATTTCTCAAATAAAAAACAGTGTTGGGGGCCTAAATAGGGCATTTTTTACTGAGGCCTCAAAAGGGGGGGCAAAAAGCCGTTAAAACACCGTCTATATAAGGGAAAAGGTTAAATGACTGGTTGTCTTTAAAGTCATTTTCAGCATGGAATTAGTTTTTGTGACATCTAATATGATCACTGGCAAATTCGAAAACATGGCCAGAAATCGGGCCACTGTAGATTTTGGGCTTCAACGGAATGAATTGCAACTTTTTTGACTGCCTGCCTATTGCAGATGGGATGATTTCTTTATAGATTTGCAATCTTATATCATATATATTCTCAACAAAATGGGTTTTCTTTTTCCAGGTTTTGTAGTTTGGTATCAGAATTTCTAGACGTATTGCTTGTAGGACATTGACGGCAGGAACTTGAAATTAACTGGAGAGTCCTACCCTGGATTTCGTGGATATTTTAAGAGAATATTTCAACGGTTACACCGTCAGAAATTACGGACTTGTACGGAAATATTGGTTCCCGGCCAGATGTATAAATTTAAATTTCAAATGTAATTTCGTATTCGTGTTATTGCAGTTCGTATTCGTCTAGGTGCATTCGTATAGATTTTATTTCAGTGTTATGTAACCCACTTTGTATTCTTAAAAGAAAGGACGTTCAAGATCATAAGTTAAAACTAAATTATTCAAATTGAAAAGGAAGAAGTATGCAACATAATATCTAATCACGTAGTTTAAACAAGAAGTAGAAACAATTGATCCTTACATTCTGCAGTATCAAAATACAAATGTTTAACTGTCAATTAAAAAGTAGCAATTAAACTTGTTTAAATCAATTTAAATTTATATGATTATAGATAAGAATTTAATGAATACGAATATAAATTAGATAAATAGAAATTGAAAGATAAACAGCGAATAAATACCCAAATTCTGCTCCATAATAGTCCATCTATAAAGGAAATGGGTATTTGTTTTGTAAATTGTAACAAAATAACGAAAATAAAAATGAAAAGTTTTGAAATTCCTAGGCATGATAAGCATTCAAGAACTATGATTTGAAAAACGTGCCTTTAACGGCCAAAGATGTATAATATTCCGTCAGCGCCCTGCTACAATACTTAATGATTTCATTTCATTTTTTATTTTATTACTGTATGCGATATTATGTATGTTTTCTTTTGTCCTTTACATTTGTTACTTTTCTTCAGAATATAATGTCTTTTTCTGGTAATTTTAATTTTCAGGTACGACCTTTTAACAATAATGACAGAAGTGCATAGAATAGTTGCCGAGGAAGTCTTCGAGGAGGAAAATCATAAACAAATGCCTACTACACTTAATCGGCTAAGAAAACAACTTTATTTTAATGTAAAACAACTCAAAGATTAATGAAATAGATAAAGGAAACCTTACGCTGAACGATAGTCAAGACGATTTGTTTGCTATGTTATGTGTCCGTTAACTTTTTTATGTATTCAATAGTTTATCAGTCTCGTCGAGCATGTTCTCGTTTCTTGACTATTTTGATTCTTTTTTAATTCAAACGTTTATGTTGTGTATTTTTTGTGGTGTTGTTATTCTTTTGACAAACAATTCGCGGAAAATAGTTTGGCTCAAATAAACATGTCAGAGTCAAAAGATAATTTTTACACGTTAGCACTTTTCAAAGACTGTTGATAGTGGACAGATCCATTTGTATTCGTTCACTGTAGATAAATATTTCAAAAACATAGTTTGGATAAGTTAAACTAGTTTCGTTATCAGGTATTTGTGTCAAATTTTCTTGACATTGAACTTAATACATCACGAATTCACGATTTCAACTTCATGAATTCATGATTATAATTTCACGAATTCAACTTTGTGAATTAACGATTTTACTTCACGAATTAACGATTTCAACTTCAGTAATTCACGATTTCAATTTCACGAATTCACGTTTTCAACTTCATGAATTCAACTTTGGGAATTCACGATTTCAACTTGACGAACTCATGACTGCAACTTAACAAATTAACGATTTCAACTTCATGAATTCAACTTCGCGAATTCATGATTTCAACTTGAGGAACTCATGACTGCAACTTAACGTATTCACGATTTCAACTTCATGAAATGCGCTGACCTTGTTTCTGTTTTTATGTTATTTATTTTTGTACATTGTTTACACATTTAAGAAGAACGTCCCTTAGAATTATATTGAAATGCATGGAAAACATTTGGCAATTTAAAGCAGCATAGATACAAAAGAAATAATTAAACATGGACTTGATGCCGTCTTAATTTCTTTATTTATGTAAATATATTTAAAACAATTCCATTTAACAAAATTTTGTCTTTTTGCAGATTCATAATTATGTTTATTCAATTGTAGTCTTATATATTAAATACACATTTTGCATTTCCTGTTGATCTCTTCAAAGTTATACAATCATAGACATGGGTATAAAATAACTCTGCCCCTGAAGTCTTTAATCCTTTACGTTGATTTATTTAGAAAACTTCAGCTTCACATGTTCTGTTCTTGAAATAACTTTGCTCAGGACTTACATATATAGTATGCAGAGTAGCATTAATGTCTTATACAGAGGTTATGTGTTAATTGTATATCATATCTCTCAATTTAGAATAAGGTCAATTTTTACATATACCTAAGAAAACACATTTATGTCATCCGGTGCTTATCTACATGGATGATATGTTCATAATTTATAGTATGTATTTAACTTACTTACATTGATTAAGAATGTCCTTTCGTGACCCGTGAGGGACGTGAATGGCCTTCCAATGACATTTACTTATTATAATTTTCAGTCCAGTCAAAATATGTGTGATGGTCGTAGTTTAAAATCCCTTGTGTTTCGTTTTCGCCCTAAGGTTAACTACATCATGCTAAATATATTTCCGATCTTCCCAGGAAGATTATCTATCATGCTGACATGCCTGGCAAACTGTCGCTCCACTTCAAAATTGTGGTGTACGGTAAAACGAGCGAACGGCATTTCCGAGATAGAGCGGAAGGCCGATTTAAACGGATAATTGTAAATGTTGTTAATGTTTTTGTTTTGTTATTCATTTAAGTTTTATTTTTCAAAAAACGGAAAATGTACTTCCATGTAGGATTGTTTTAGGCTTTCAATAATCTAAGTTGTTACAAAAACAAAATTATATTTAGCCCGGGAGACCTTTTCTCCCTGACAAAGCGAACGACGATTTGTAGAATATTGAACTTCCCAACCATTAAAATGCCATACCCTTCGGATTTCTTTAAAAAGTGTATTAGGAAAATATCAACCCGTAATAAGAACTTGTCCTACGTGCAACATAATTACTCCTGAAGGATTTCTTAAATTTGTAAATCGATATTTTTCGAAAGTAGTGGAGCCAAAGGGCAAGAGATGGAGCGAAAGGTTCGATGTTGACGCAAGGCGATATTAATTTGGCATATTTGGAGGAGCGTGGTCTGTGAATTTTTATATATAAAAGCTATAGAAGTTAAAACAGACATGATAAAGTGTTGAGACTGAGATATATATACCTGTTAAAGACAACTTATAAAGCGTGATATCCTTTCAACGACTATAGTGTAATAAATGTAATGGCTAAGGTGTCACCTATAGATTCCATTATTTATGTTCCAAATTTGGGTAAGGCCCGATCATTGAATCATATTGCGTAAAACAGGCTGCCACTTATTTGAGGTCAAGCATGATTTTTGATACGGTTCTGTACATTTAAAAACGTGTGTCCGTGCAAATTCGACAAAATCGAATATTTTCAATTCTACCGCGAACTAGGTACATGTAACGCGAAATTTTTCCCCCAAAATGTTTTAAAAAATTTTGGGGAACGACAAAATTTTTCAATTTTCCGGGCACATGAAATAAAGAGTTTTATTTTTACAAAAAACTTTTTCCCCTATAAATTAATAGCTTTTTTTAAGAACGTACATGTTTAGATCAAACACAAAGAAGCCACGTTTTCATGAAATTTGTTTGTTTGTTTGTTTGTTTCATTTTACGCCTTTTCCTAACAGTATTTCAGTCATATAGGCGGGTAGTTTCCTAACCATCGTTCCTGGAGAGTTACACCAGTACTAGACTACCTTCCTCCGTGCTAAACTACCAAAGCATCTCCCGGGGATCGAACCCACGCCAGAGAGGTTACTGGATTAGAAGTCATCGACTCTAACCCCTCGACCACGGAGGCGGTGTTTTCATGAAATAGAAAGATTTTTGTAAGGTGGTGAATCTATATGAAAATGGTTGACAAAGTGTCAGTCGTTCTAAGGATATGCAATATGATAAAAAAAAATCAACAAGGAAAGGCGGCGTTCAATGAACGCCACCCCCACGCGACCCAGCAACAAAAACCAGGAGGCCTTCAAACAAAAAATGGATAGAGCGCAATGCGGTGCACATATAGGTCAATCACTAAATATAAAAAGAAGTCATAAATACCGACAAAGAAACAAAGATAAAAGATAAATGACTGCTTAACAGACTCACATAGTAAAGGGGCATTGGGGAAAGGGAAACGAGACCCGGGGTAGGGGGTTATATTAGTGTTTCAGTTACGTTTCAGGATACTTTCTTTCTTATTTAGCATTGTTGCTTAGTTTATCATTTTCCTCTCAAAGTATAAATTGAAATGTTCACTTTTATAATCAAACACTGTATATTGACAGACAGTACAAATATTGGTTAATTAAAGAAAAAAATAAGTTAAAAGAAATATCTGTAAAATTTTGTTCGTTTATTCAGAGTATCTATGAACAAAACAAACGTAATAAAAAAGGCAGTACTCAGTCGGTGTACGGACTAAAATTATTAATTATTGAAATACCTAGTTATAGTAGAAATAAATTAATATCTTATCATATTTCTCCGGCTTCAAATTTTAGTACGGCTTTTTTAACTTTGAAAGATTTTATTTATATACATTCGTAGACCATGCTCTTTACACCAACTAAATGTCGCCTTGCGCCCAACAACCTTTGGCTCCACTACTTTCCAAAAAAATCGATATACAAATTTAAGAAATCCACCAAGAGTAGTTTATTTTGCACGGAAGACTAGCTCTTGTTACGTGTTAATATTTTTGTAAAACACTTTTTCAAAACATCCAAAGTGTGGAGCGTTTTCATGGTTTGAAGTTTGAAATTTAACAAATCGTCGTTCGCTTCGTCAGGGAGAAAAGTACTCCCGGGCTAAATATAATTTTGTTTTTGTAACAGCTTAGATCATTGGAAGCCTAAATCAATCCTACACGGAACAACATTTTCCGTTGTTCGAAAAAAACACAACTTATATGAATAACAAGACAAAAGCATAAACAACACTTACAATTATCCGTTTAAATCGGCCTTCCGCTTTATCTCGGAAATGCCGTTCGCTCGTTTACCGTACACCACAATTTTGAAGTGGAGCGACAGTTTGCCGGGCGTGGTTGTCGTATATTCTTAAGTTGATTGACTATATACTGTTTCACGTCAATTCAGATGGGAACTGTTCCTGTTCAAAACCAAGGAAGCATAAAGTTCTTATTTTTTTTTTCGTTTATACATGCTTTATTTTGTTGTTTTATGTTTGGTTGTTTTTGTTTTATTTTTTGTTTATTTTCTTTTGTTTTAAATCACTAAGGTCAGACATAAAAGTCTTGTTCATATTTTTTTACCAATTGTATTTAGAAGAATGATTCATTTCTTGTTTCATTTTCATCTATCTAAATTACATGACTTTGTTGCTTTTTTAGTCTTTTTATTCGTTTGAAAAAGATTTATTGATTAGATGTCAAAACTGATTTATGTGTATATTCTATGAATATATTTGTAACATAAAATGTAAAAATAAATGTATTCGGAATGACCTAACGGTATGTTACGCCTGCTGAACTATGGATACAATTGATGTTTTATATCCTCAATCAAATACTTGTCAAAGATGTAAACTAAAAGAAGTTTAAATGTTATGGACACTCAGGAGCTTTTGCCCGGTACATAGTTCAAACCTAGATAGTTCTCATAAGAAATGTAAATGCTAAAGAACCAGAACTCATATTTTTCATTCTAAAAAAATATCCGAAGCATAACAAGAAAGGTATTTGAACCTTTATAGCTGACTGACTTTGGACTTATTGTCCTTTTTATTTTTTTTTTAATCATTCAATTGTATCAAGATTTGTATGTAAATGAATATATTATGTACAAATATTTTTTTGAATTTTAAAATAAAAGAAATGCTAGGTTTTTTTAATTGGTAGTTAATTACCATGAAAAAGAATTGCGTATGTACAAATGTATTGCTAAACGGATAAAACCCTACATTTAATAGAAATATAATATTTCATTCTGAATTTTTTTATTCTCTTTGAGTGCAATATAAACGTGTGGTAAATAACAGAGTCATTCTATATTAGGTACAACGCTTTTGAACATCAACCATCATATTAAGGAAACAATATACTTTTACTGTTGATTAAATTTATTAAAAATATTTCATAAGATATAAGTTTTGTATCATTAACGGTATAAATTATAAAACATTGGAGGTATCAACATGAAACTTAATAAAAAAATCCTTTTGAATAGAAGTGTGTTTTGCAATGAGCCATACTATTTGTATGTGTTTAAATTCTTAGTTATTTCTCGTTGTAATTGTATAATATATTATCTTTCAGAACACACATGTTTTATGTAGACAATATTATCTATTACGTTAAACATACAATTTCATTTGTATTTGTGTATTGATATAATCTAGAACCTACTGCATTAGGGCTTATCTAACCACAAATTTTAAGGCACATTTTGCCGCAGGAACGAGTAAACTTTCAATTCTCCGAGTTGGATGTTTGTAATTATCAGAATGCGCTAAATTTGAAATAATTTGACATTAATTTAGCAATGTGTAAACAAAGTAATGATTTGATTTCCGTTCAGAATCCTGATACACTATAACTTTACTAATTGCCAAACAAAAAAGGAAGAAAATGATATTGGAATTGGCCAATGTGAAACCTTTTGGAAAAATAAAAGTATACAAAAAAGCTTTCGTGAAATCAGAACAAATGATTTCTTTGGCTTTATGCGCCTTAAAATAATTATGTTTTTCTTGCATAACTTGAATGAATAATTGACATGATCTATATTGCAAGGTTATCATATCTGATTATAAGTGAATGTAATGTTACAATTTCGCTAGAAATCAAATGAAATTTGTGTTCTGCTGACAAAACAGTATGAATGAATGTATATAATTTTATAATTTAACTTGTTATTATATATTTCTGTAAACATTTTGCTTATTTCCAAAGGATTGTCAGATATTGTAGTAGGTAAATTGTTTAAAAATTATTTTTTTCGTACGTGTGTTAACCTCAATTTAATGTAAAGCTATGATGTCACTAGCAGAAATCTATTTTAACATACAAATACAAAATATTTTGAAAGATTCTAAATCACTGTTATATCGTGTAGTAAATAAATAAACCACGGCATGTATCCAGATCACCAGGGCATGGTGATAATGCGTGTCTCTGGTGAAAATAACATGTTCAAAATATAGTAAATTCAAAGAATAATATAATCTCTACTATTATCCAATCCCGTTTTCAAATAAATTTGTTTTAGAATCTATGCAAAAATTAGCAATAAAATACGGATTTCGTTTATGCAGAGTCCCAGCATCGTGGTGAATTTCACCATGGAAACTAAAAATTGCAACTTTAACGTAAAGCCAGCATTTGTGAATCTTCTGAAACAGTTTGACCTAAAGTCATATATGCAGAACAGTTTGACCACTTAATATATGTAGAAATATTTACGCTTCCTGCACTATTGTCTAGACATCGAGTCTGTTTTGTTTTCAAGCCCTGATGATGTGGATACATGCAGAAAATAGTTGATGACAATTTCTAATATTTTATGTAAAAGATTTGTGTTAAAATATAAAAGTGTTGGTCTATCATTTGTATTTGT